GATTCGTCTTAGACACGAGGAGTCTACCTCTGGAAACGTTAGCCGAATTCATCCAGCCGGAGCGCCTCTAAAGCTTCTGCTGCCATCTCGTCTTGCCCCTATGAAAGGGATAGGTTACTGGGACTAATTTAGTCAGCGAATAATCTGGACCGTTTGGGAATCAATACGGTTGCCAAGATGGAAATATTTCTGAGACTGCGCCAGCTAATCACAGTTTGATTTTTCCAAAAGATCCTTTGCATAAAATATCCATTCAACGCTGGACCCACCTAATGCAGTTCCACGAAGTGGAGCGGTTACGCTCTTTGATTCCCGACTGTGGGCAAGAGACCAGTTATCTCCTATCTGCATCTGTTTTGACATTATTTTACACGAAACTACGTCCTCGACATCCCATCTACTCAGCCTCGCTTTCTATATGCGAAATTTCGGATCTAGTATATCCTAACTTTTCTATTTTTAATATCTATCGTTGTTGTGAAACCAGCACGTAATTATTCCTGCACACCATTCTTTCCCCCGTATTGCAATAGATTTCTCAATTGTTCCGAACTAACAAGCTCACCTATTTATTTCTTCTAGGTTGGCTACAGCATTTCTCAGTTGAAATGTTCAGGAAACTTTGGTAAGCCTCGTATTTTTTGTACCATCTTCAGCTCGTTCACTTCCCAAATCGTTCGCCCCCGCGCCCTCTCCCTATCCTCAAGATTAGAAAGTCTATCCGAATTTTTTGATTCTCCCCAAAACTGGGGCGTGGTGTCGGTCAAATCTGGTCGACCCTGGAGAGTTGATGAGCTAAGACGCAAGAGTGCATCCGACTTGCACAAATTATGGTATATTCTACTAAAAGAACGAAACATGTTAATGACAATGGAGGAGGAACACTGGCGTCGGCTGGAGCGTATGCCTAATCCGGAGCGTTTCGAGAAGGTATGTGTTCTGTTTTTTTCCCACTCTTGACGGCTTGCTTTTTTGAGGAAATTATTTGGTGAATAGGACTGCGCAGAAAATATCAGAAAACATTCTGCATCTCCCCAGAGGCAACACCGTCCTAATTATTTGTTCTAGGGGATTTGAAGTAACAATTTCAACCGCCTGTTCTATGGGGGTAATGTAATCAGGGACCAGGGGTTGATGGATGACAGGGCGCTCGCTTGATCGGATTATAGTGGACGGTGATGAGATCCCCGGATGGACTCTTTGGGTTGCGAAGAAAGAACGTGTCAGTGGAGACTTGGTAGACGATAGTGTACGGGCCTTGCCACAGCCAGTGAAATTTACTAGTCGCCGCAATAGGTGGTCGTGTATACTTTCCTAGTTTTTTTTTATATCGGTCAGTGTTGTGAAACCAGCACGTAATTATTCCCGTAAGGTACATGGGGCGTCAGAGTGGCACGCTCGCTATTACAGAAAATGCCAGACCTGGCGGGTTCATTTCTTGAGTGACCTCAGCGGGGGACAAATTTATATCATATTTCTCTCATAATATTTCCCAGTTATATGCATCCAGCAAGATTTCGTGCAGGCCTAATTATATTATGTAGAAGTAAACTAGCCGCCCACATCTTTCCTCGTTGAATCTCATTTTGTGGGGTCCTGCTCGTAGGGTTTTCATAACTCTTGGGTATTTTCTATTGGCCCGACATGAAATATCAATCGCCGCAGAAATCCGTATATATCAGGCATCCGTCCGGTCAGTCCTCTCATACGGAACTATTCTTTGGATAAACTTGGAGCGTAAAACAATCAACTATCAGTGACGCACGTCTGGAGTTGACTGTTCAGGACTCTGTATGCCGGCGCCAAATCGATACGTCGAGTGACTGAGTTCCCATCCGTGGACTAGGCTTCAACAAGACGAACCGAGAATTGATTGAATCTTGTTCTACGGATGGGAACTCAATCAATACATTTATTGATTTGGCGCCGGCATACAGAGCCCTGTGCAGTCGACTCCAGACGTGCGTCACTGATAAATGTTTGGTTGATATGTCCTTTAATTGTTCCCCTTATCTGTTGCTGTTGTTACCTCTGATAATGAACTCTAGTACGAGTTCTAAAGCTTAGGACAGTAAACAAACAGTTCCGCTGCTCGATTAGCTTTCTTCATGAGTTTAAAACCGCGGCCGTCAAGATGCTCGCCCATCCCAGAAAAAAGACGAGCCGAGAATGTATTGAAGCCTGGTCCACGGATGGGAACTCCATCAACTGGTGTGTTGATTTAGCATCCGCGTACAGAGCCCTGTGCAGTCACTTCCAGACGTGCGTCATTGAGCGTTGATTGATTTGTATCTTCTATCATTGCCTCCTTTTCGTTGCTGCTGCTACCTCTGACGATGAACTCGTGTACGAGTTTGAATGCTCATAACAATAAACAGACTGTTCAAATGCTCAAGCAGCCTCTTTTTTAACTTTTACTCAAAAATGCCTACAGGAAAACTACTTTAGG